AGGAATAGGATAGATCTTACCACAGTAATAGCTATTTACTGACAGCTTTTGTCTGAATCAGCCAGACTTAGCCAGACAACGAGATCTAATCCAATCAGATCCTGGATGTAGTTAGTTTCTGTTGCAATTCTGAGTCTAGTTCAAACCAAAACTTGCTCAACTAAATTTAGCTCTAAAACACAAGTCCATGGAGCTCAGAATCCAGAAAAAAGCTTACTATCATCCCTCAATTGCTGCAAAAAAAGCACCATGGAAAAAAAAATCCATCAGGTACCTTGTTTGATCACTCAGTGTTGCTAGGAGTCATTGGAAGCGCTACTTCAGATCTCACTTCTGACAAAAACACTGTTAAAAGAAAAATTTAAACAAAGGTTAGCAGAGTTTAATTGAGTAAAGAACAATTTTCTAATTGGGGAGCCCTAAGAATGACTTCCAAGGAACTACAAGGTGCTTCACGGTCAAATAACTTTTACGGGCAGGAAAAGGAAGTGGGGGAAATGAAGTACAGAAGCAGCTGAGTTGGTTACAACTTGGTGTTTGCCTGTATGAACATGGTTTAAAGGATGGGCTGTCTGATAGACTGAAGCATGACTGCTGTCATTGTGTCTCAGCCATTTGTTAAAGTAGACTCCTAAGCAAGGTTGCAGTTTGTTTACAAAATCTCAATTATATGAGTATGAAGGCATTCTTGGGCCAACATATTAGGTTGTCAGGAAAGTCATGACATAGTTTTTTATGCAAGATATGTTATGACTTTCCTAACAACCTAATAGTTTAATGTAATATCATCCTATAAAAATATCCCCCTTGGGACCAGCAGTTAGCATAATGGCTATGTCACTGGACTCCCATGTAGTCGACCGCGGTTTGAATCCCAGACCAGGTGGCTTAAACTCACGTCAGGTGTGTGTGTGTGCGTGCCCAAGATCCCGGGAGGAGAATGGAGGAGAAGGGATTGCAGCGTGGCCATCCCCCCTAAGGGGTGATTTCTCACTTTCTGTCTCTGTCTCTCTGTCTTTCTGGTGAGCGCATGTACCCTATAGCAAAAGCCTCTTAAAAAAAAAAATCCCCCTTGTATTTTCTCAATGGAGTTACAGAACTGCTATGGTTTGGAGCTACCTGACTTATGAATTGGTTGTTCTGATAAAATCTGTATAATTTTATAATTCTTCAGTTTTCTTTTTAACAGCAGTATTACTTATAATAGTAAAGAACTTCAAACATATATTTTCCTAAACTTAGGGTTAAGAAAATTATTCTAATGCTTACTGAAGAAAGGAGCCAGATTCCACATGGTCAACTGATGTTTTTATGTTTTAGTTTTACTAAAGGGGGCATGCACTTGTTTTGTAGAGCAGAAGAGAAAGAGAGAGAGAGAGAGAGAGAAATCACCCCCCAGGAGGAATGGCCATGCACAAATCCTTTCTCTTCCATTCTCCTCTTGAGATTTTTGGGCACACATGCACATGCACCCAGGGTGTTTTTCAGGTCATGAGGTCCAGAACTCGAATCGCTCAGTCAGCCATATGTGATTCAGCCACTTAAACTCCATGCCACCCGATGTGCCCCCATTCCTGACTCTGAATCCTGACCTCAGCAGCTTGCAACGCACACCAGGTGTGTGTGTATTTGTGTGTGTTGTCTATGCACATGCACACCCAAAATCCCAACAGGATGGAGAAATGGAGAGGGGACTGTGGTGTGACCACATCCCCATTGATGAGTGAGTTCTCCTTCCTCCCTCTCTCTGTCTCTCTCTGGTAAGTCTACACATTCTCTGGCAATTAAAAAAAAGAAAGCTATGCTGTACCGATGTAATGGACTATATACCCATTAAGAATTATAAGCCTCTGGACTATGTTGGTATATGAAAATATGTTCATGAAACAATGTTAATAACAAAATATGTTTTTATAAAGATGTAGATTTATATACTTGAATACACTTTAGTGCACTCATAAATGTGTCATTTTGTCTTCAAATAAAGTCTATCTCAGATAGATTATACTTGTAGAAATATAATAAGGTACAAAGAAAGTACACTGACAAATAAATATAAGGTAATATTAACAGAATTTTATGTTTATTAGATTCTTTGGTCTCAAAAGAGTAGCACTTTACAAAAATTCTATTTTAATACGCATTGCTCACAAAGTCTCAGTACTCAAGATGAATTGGTGAATTCGTTGGGAATAAGTTAAAAATGTCTTTACTACAGAAATTCTTAGAACCTTTAATCCTATACAAAATCGACTGTTTTTCTCACAGTTTACAGATACCTTACTTGTGTAAATAAATATGTGTCAATTTTACTTATACTTGTTTACTAGTTTATCTTTGTTATGAAGCTCTACATTCTATCAGGGCAGGTACTTTTACCTGTTGTCTTTACCATTGTTCCTAGAGCCAGGGTAAATATCAGGAACTTCATAAATATTTTCATAGTGAATGAATTTCCAGGGGAGCATTTCGGCAGAGTAGTACTCAAAGATACACACTTTGGAAACTACTGCTCTAAAGTTATTCAATTGTATCATAACTTCAAAGAAAAACCTGTGGTAACACCTTTAGGCCACTAGAGATCCATTTAATAAATTATTGCTGCGCTTCAGTGGAATCAATTACTACTTCAGGGAACTGAAGAGATTTCTGAGAGAGCACCTCATGACCTGGAAAAGTCTTGTGAAATCATCTTACATTCATTTCCACCAGAAGAGCAGTGGCAAAAATAATAGTTACCATGGAATGAATGGAGTGGAATCATGCTTTACATCAACACCAACAATATTTTGGAACACTTGGGCAACATCAGATTATCCAGCAGGGATATATGTTTACTTAAATAGTTGAAGTATGAAATGTAGATATTCCCTATGGAAACTGCAAATTGGGAAGTCATTGATTCTCTTTTGGGATAAGAGAGTTCACATATTTAATTATTTATTTATTTTTAAAGAATTATTTTATTCAACTTTATTTATTTTAATTTGACCAGAGAGGGGGAGAGAGACAGAGAGAGAGAGAGAGAGAAAGTAAGTCACCAGGTCCAGGACTCGAACCATGGTCAGCCATGTGGGAGTCCAGTGCCCTTAGCCACCATGCCACCTGCTGGCCCCACACATTTTTTTTATAGTAAAAAACAAAAATGAGGGAAAGAACTTGTAAAGATTAAAAAGTATATAAGACCGCATATAAAAATATTTTACAAGAGACCAGCAGTTGGCCTAACAGCTATGTCACTGGGCTCCCATGTAGTCGACCGTGGTTCGAGTCCTGGACCCGGTGGCTTACATTCACGCTAGGCACATGCGCACCTGTGCCCAAGATCCCAAGAGGAGAATGGAGGAGGAGGAATTATGGCATGGCCATTTCCCCTAGAGAGGTGATCTCTGACTTTCTGTCTCTCTGTCTCAGTCTTCCTGGGGAGTGCACATGCCCTATAGCAAAAACCTCTCCAAGAAACCAAAAAATATATTTTAAAAAACGGGGCCAGCAAGTGGCATGGTGGTTAAGGCAGCTGGACTCCCACATGGTTCAATCCTGGACCTGGCAGCTAGCTTTCTCACTTTCCGTCTCTGTGTCTCTCTGGTCAACTTAAAAAAAAAAAAAAAAAAAACGGTAAAATTAAGTAAAATCATTCTTAAATTTAAAAAAAACACCTATATATTTTATAAGATTTATCAATTTCTTCACTCGTCCTCCAAAAGTGCTAGAAAAAAAAAATCCCACCGATTTTATTATTTGAGGGTAGTTAACGTGAAAAAATAAAAATTGGTATAAAATTTCATGACTTTTCCCCATTACCAAAATGTTAAGTATTCCACCAACTGCCAATGCCCCCACACCCTGACACTTCACTAAAAACTTAGCTTATGTGTCAATTTTAGACCTTAATAATATCTGGAGTGGTGGGAGGGGGTACATTTTAGAGTCCAGAGTGCTAACCATTACACCATGGAACCCCTGCTAGAGAGTGTACATTTCAAGTCAAACAAAGGATATCTTTCCAAAGCGTCATTTGCAAAGGTTAATCTGTATATGATCTACGGAGGGGAAGTGCAGTGCCCCAGTGGGCGACCCAAGACCCTCTTCTCTTCGTTAATAAACCACAGGAGAGATCATTTTAAAACTTAATTTGGGTGTTTACAAACATATGGGGGAAAGTTTTCCCCAATTTCAGTTTTGGTAAATTTGAAAATAAAGATCTTGCTTCTACTGACACCTACACAATAGATAAGGGATATCTGAGTACTCTGAAATCTGCAGGGAGAAAATGTATAGAATCCGAGCCTCATATAGCTCACAAACGCCCTGAACACTCAGGCCACGGTGGCTCCGGGAGTTAAGTAGCTTTAACTGACTCCCTGTGGTCCGCGAGTCTCCTGACTCCTGGCCTAACCTTCTTTTCCACAACCGCAAAGCTTGCGAGGCCCCAGCTAGAATGAAGGTCAAAGTCAGCAGAGTGATCTCCGCGGTAGATGAGCTGTGAGGGTCTTCCTATCCGAGGGAGTTTCGAAATGAGGTTCATGAAAGGGCATTTCTGAACACTTCATTTCGAGGACGCAGTCAAAAGATGCTCCTGGTGAGTAAAAATTAGGGTTTTTTTGAAAAAAAAAAAAAAAGCGCAGTTTCTTGAAGGCATGTCAGAAACTAAGAGCGGTGAGGTGGGAGTAGGGGTGGTGGGGAGTGGGAATCTAATAAAAGCACGCTCTAGGGCGGAAGGCAGTGGAGTAGAAAAGTGGCATGATTATTCTGGAGCTGCTTCAAAAAGGAATCTCCAGCAGAACAAGGGGGAGACCCGCAGGCAGGCGCAGGCGTCGGCTACTCCCAGTTGGGGGGAGCGCAAAACTGCGGGGTCACTTGGTCCGGGCTTCCCTCGCACTCACAGCTCGCTCCTCCTGCGGGATCTTGGTCCTCCCGAGCACCCCTCCCACCCACTCTGAGCTCCCGGCTCCTCCCCCACGCTCCTTGGCTCGTTCTCACTCCTGTCGGCGCGCCCCGGGCCCTCTCTGCGCCTCTAGGCGCATAGCACCGGGAGGCGCGTCACTGCGAGGCCGGCCTCCGCTCGCTTCTCTCCCTCCCGCCTCTCCGCTTTTAAGCTATCCAGCCAGGGGAGGCGGAAAAGCAGCCGGACGCGGCAGCTACCCTGCCCCCGCCGGCCGGAGGTGCGGTCCGTAGGCCCGGGAGCCCAGGCGGGCCCCTGGGGAGTCCGCACCGCTCTCGGAGAGCTGCAAGACTCGCCCCTTCCTGGCGCAGAGGGCGCGGAGGTGAGCCGGTCAGGGAAGAACGCGAGAGGAGGTGGCTGCTTGGGAGTTGAGGGTCAAGATGCGGTCGGCGCCCGGCGCTACATCCATCCTCCCTAGATTTTGCGTCTTCTGCGGGCGTCCGCCCTCAGCTGGCGGGGGTCCCTGATCTGGCACCTTGAGGTGGGCAATGGGAAGGGTAGAGAAGGGTATCCGTTCCATCGATTCAGGTCCCTACTCCACTTGGTCTTTCCCGAGCTCCCAGGAAGTACTGAGGTTGGGCCCAGGTGAAAGGAGGCCAGGAGAGACAACGTCCCAGGTAAGATGTTCCCCAAAGGGAATGGGCAGACTGGTGACTTTCTCCTCCCTGAGAATCTACCTGCCACTTCGGCTTGATGCAGCACATTCTAATGAAGATTATGCAGCGCAGCTTTCTAGTAGTCATTTTGTTTATTACCCAGTAATGTAATCACGGTGTGTTTGGGCCATTTTGTGTTAGGAAGTAATTGGCCTCTTCTTGGTGTGTCCTAAATTATCTTTGAGCCCTGTGTTCTGCCTCAGCCAAAACTTGTTGAAAATTATGCCCTAAAAATCTTGCTCTTAAAATAGAGCAGAGAGAGGAGAATTTTTGTCCGGAGATTTCCATTTATTATCTCCCCCACTCTTAGACAGGGATTGGTGTCAGTCTTTACTCCTCTGGCAGTGTGTTTTACATGGAAAAACTTATTCCAGGCTGTGGTTAATTATCTTTAATCACTATAGAGGAAATAGGAGAAATAGAATCAACACCAGCCCCCTTCCCATCCTCATGACTTAGATTAGATTCTAGTTTTGCTATCATCCCTACTGTTTGGAATCTAAATACTTATTTCTCTCCAAACCACCTCCCTATCCTTTTTTCTCCAGAATCATTTTTTTGTCTTACTTTGTTGAGATCCCTTTTTTCCCCTTCCTCCAGTGCTTTAATTTTTGCCATGCATCTTTCTCTGTCACTGCAAAGCTTAGTAGCTATTTAAAGAATAAACTACCCCTCCTACATATTTTGCAGAATACTGAAAAGCATAAGAGAAACTATATATGCTACCACTGGAATGGGGGCAGTTTTTGCTTCCCTGGCTAGAAAGTCTATTTGGTGGTAAAGAAATACGCAATGTCAATAATGATAAATTAGCTAACTGTGCAGGGAGGAAATGAAAAGCTTGACCCAAGTCACTTTTTATTGTACCGGTGTCATGGAAAATGTAGTGAGTGAGCATAATTGTATTTTGATACTGAAAAAAAATAGTATAGATGAAGGCAGAATTTAAAGTATTATAAATGAGTTATAAAAGTGAGAGAGGATACACAACACTTTAAAAGACCAGGTCTGCAAGTGTGGTAAAAGTTACAGTCAGAACATAAAGAGATGCATTTATCTGGCCAGGAACCATGACATTGAGGTTACCAAGACGTTGACATACTGTGACAATGACAGATTGCATGACATTGACAGATCGCCTAGGGCTCACATGTTTTGAAAAGCAAATAGAGAAGTCTGACCTAGAGACCTATTACATCTCTTTTGATCCTGACATTTTTTTTGATGCAACGACAGGGACTATTTATTGTATTTTTATTTAGTGTGTGCTAGGTAGTGTGGAGGCAATGATGGGCATGACAAGTGTGGTACTGCCCTCAAGGAGCTGACTGTCTGGCAACAATCAGGAAGTAATCAGTAAAGCAAAAAATGTATAAAATGGGCCAGGGTGTAGTACAGAGGTCAAGTGCTATGTGCGTAGAAGGCCTGATCCTCCATGTTCTACTGAGGTTTGAATCTTGGTTCCTGGCAGCTTGAAAAAAACATACTGAGTTTGTGTGTGCCCAGCCGAAACCAGAGAGGGTGGTTGCTGCGTGGCCATGCCCATCAAGGGTTGCTTTCTCCCTGGCAAATGTATGCTCCCACTAAAAAAAAGAAAAGAAAGCATAATGTAATTACAAAGGAAACTTAAGGGCTGAAAGAAAAGAAAAAAAAGTGAATTATTCTACTAAATGCATGTGTAAAGTTCCCAAAGTGGGAATGTGATGGGTCTTTTGTAATTCTAGAAGTGGATGCTATGGCTAGACCACAGGAAATAGGAGTTGGAGAGGTGAGCAGGGGCTAGCTCATCCTGGGCTATTAGAAGGCTAGGAGGTAGTGCTTGGAGCTCAGGAAGTGAATAACTGAGATAGAGTGGAGGCAAAGTCTTTGGTGAATATGTGAAGGAAACAAGAGGCTCTGAAGTTGAATGGTTCTCCACTGGAATGGTGACGTCCTGGAGAAAGATAACCATTGGGGTAGAGAGGACAACTATGCATGTAATGGGGACCAGGGTCTCCAATGATGAGGAATAAGCTAGAAGTCAGTAGATGACAGCAGGGAGGACAGAGGAAGGATTTTGTTTTTAAGCTTATTTATTTACTCCATGATGGAGAAGTAATTAGAGGCAGGTACCACTGACAGGGTCCTCATGCCCTGATCCATGCCTTCTCAGCCATCCTGGATCAGAGGCACACATGTTTACCCAGCACACTTAGGGAGGTCCTGGGGTGTGAACCCAGGACCTTTTCCATGTGAGTCCAGCTGCATGATAGTTGCAGTACTGCTGCACCACCATATAGCCCTGAGAGGAAGGGTATTATGAAATGCGATGAGCCTCACATAAACTGAAGGTTTTGTAAGAGAGACAAAGAAGAAAGTCAGATATGGGTTCACAAATTGAGGATTACATTTTCTTTTTTTTGGAGAGATTTTCACTGTAGGGCGCGTGCGCTCGCCAGACAGACAGAGAGAGACAAAGAGACAGAAAGCGAGAAATCACCCCCCCAGGGGGGATGGTCACGCCGCAATCCCTTCTCCTCCATTCTCCTCTCGGGATCTTGGGCACGCACGCAAACGTGCCCGGCGTGAGTTTTAAGCCACCGGGTCCAGGACACGAACCGCGGTCGACTACGTGGGAGTCCAGCGACATAGCCATTATGCTAACTGCTGGTTCCCAGGATTACATTTTCTTGATAACCTAATCAAATCAACAGGTTGTGCATGTCATCAAAATCTCTGAGGATGGCCATTTCTAAATTTCTATCATCTAGTAAACTAATGCCCTAGATGTTTATATGTGAAACAAATTAGGCCCCATTTTCAAATTGAACAGCGTAACAGCTGCCATTCAGCTAGAAGAATGTCAAGGAAATCCTTCTTAGCCGAAAACCTTAAGAGGCAGGAAGGTAGGTGCATCTGAGTGTGACTGCATTCTCTTAACTTGAGAAGATAAGTTCTTCAAAAAGTTCATGAAAAATGCACATCATAAAATAAGTTATACATGGATTTAAATATTTTTGCTTCAAAATAAACTTGTAATTCCATTTTTCCACAAACATTTTGAAATCCTCTTGAATACTCCTAAGTATTAAATTCATACAGTAGGTCAAATACTCATTCAAAGAACCATATACTATTTATTGTTATTATTATTTTTTAAATTTCCTATAGAGCACATGTGCTCAATGGAGAGAGAGAGAGGGAGAGGGACAAAGGAAATGAGAAAGCTCCCAATCACACTGCAATTCCTTCTCCACCATTCTCTTGGGATTTTGGGCAGACACACATACCAGTATCTCATGTGTTTCTTAAGCCACCACCACACTGGTGCCTACCATGTACTACTTAAATCACATTTTAAGAAAAACTCCTAAAATTGAAATGTTAAATATAAAGTGGTAATATTACCACTATTATGTAGCTTCATGACTTAGAGGGCTAGTTGGTGGCGTGGTGATTAAGCTGGCTGGTTATCATGCAGTCAACTATGTGGTTCTAGTCTCAGTGCAGTGGCTTTTGAAACAAGCTAGGCATGTGTATATGTGCACAAAAATCCCAAAAGGAGAAAGAAATTAGAAAGGATTGTGGCATGACTATCCCACATGGGGAGTACTTTCTTACTTTCCCTGTTTCTCTCTGCCAGGACACACTCTCTGGGAAATTTGAAATAAACAAAATAACTTAGAAATGAAAGAGTTGTAGTGTTAGAAAGAACTACAGGAGGCATATACAACTTCTGTTTTCTATTTAACAAAGGAAACTGAGATTCAAAGAATTCAGGTGATTTTATAAGCCTAGGCCTGTCCTTTCCCTGATACCACAGAAACAAAACTTCCTATAAATGACATAGTTTTGTCGGTTATTTAACTAGATTATATAACATCAAATAAAAATGTACACTCTAAGACATATTAGTGAAGGCATGGCATATGGAGCTAGCTACTTGGGAACTTGTGAAAAATGCAGAATCTTGAGCCTTACCCCAGACCCAGACAATCTCTGAATGTACACTTGAACAAGATCCTCAGGGGATCACATTTGCAATAAAGTTGAACAAGCACTGTTCTAGAATCAGTCCATTTGTAAACTGTTTTGCTCAGGTCCACAGGACATAGGATGCCTGAAGAACTGAAGAGAGGAACCTCCTTGTGAAACCGAGCAAAGTAAGGAATAGAGCCAAGAGTAAGGAGTAAGTCTTCAGACTGTGGTTATGATAATGAAACAACTTGGTTCATGAATGAGGCCATTAGACCTCTAAAACTCTCACTTAAAGGAAAGACAAGGTTTTCATTTCAGAATGCAAGGTGTTTTCTAGGATGGAAACTGCTAGCTGTGAGCTCAAGGACCCCAGGCTGAATGGCTCTAGGAACCTGAAGAGAAATTTGATTATCTAAGGCCTCACCAATCAAGAATGCCCATAAGATGATCAAGTCCTCTTGAACCAATCACTGAACTGATCATGGGCCTGGGACCTCTGCCCCAAATTTTGCCCTTAAAAACACATGTGGGGAACATCTTGGGGAGACCGGGTCTTTTCAGCATGAGCTGCCTGCTCTCTTTGCTTTGTGCTTTGCAATAAAGCTATACTTTCCTTCATCACACCATGTACTCGCTTGGGCCAGTGAACCTGATTTGAGTTCAGTAACACTTGCTGGGGGCATGTGCATTTGCCAGAGAGAGACAGAAAGGGAGAGAGAGAAGATACCCACTGCCCCTGTGATGGGATATGATCATGCCATATTGCTCTTCAACAGTACCTAGTGATTTATTTCAGCCTCTTTTCCCTCCATTTCGCCATCACATCAGGGAATCGGGGCATATGCGTGCATGTGCCCAGAATGTTTTTGTTTTTGTTTTTGTTTTAATTTTTTTAAATTTTTTATTATCATCATAATCTTCTTTATATTACATTGGATTACATATAACTTTACAGTGTATTACATTGTTTTTTCAAAAGGGAATGCCATGCATGTCAGTCAGTACAGAGACATTAATCTCCCCACTTCAACATTCCATATCTTTTCTGTTTTCCCCAATCATTATTTTATTATTCTAATTATTTTTTAAAACAGTCAATCGCTATTTCTCATTTTGCTTGTAAAAATACTTTGCCCATCATTGAAATACTTCTCAGACCAATCCAGTTGAGAATACTATACATGTCAACATCAACAGGTAATAAGTCATATCTGTTTCTCACTAACGTCCTGCCTCTCTATTGTTCACTTGCTGTCTTTCTCTATCCTCTTCTCTTCACTTCCCCCATTCCACACTGTCCTATTCTCATTAAGTACCTTCACTGCTTTTATGTCCTCCGATTTTTTGCTCTCTATCACAGAGTGCGGATAGTCGGTATATATTGAGTGGATACATACAATATCTTTCTTTCATAGCCTGGCTTACTTCACTCAGCAATAGATCCTCCATATCTGACCATTTTCTATCAAATTCCAGGATCTTGTTATTTTTTATGGCTGAGTAGTATTCCATAGAGTATATATACCACACTTTTCCAATCCATTCATCAGTTTGTGGACATTTAGGTTGGTTCCATGTCTTGGCAATTGTGAATAATGCTGCAATAAACATGGATGTGCAAGCACTTTTCTGACTGAGCGTTCTCCTGTCTTTTGGGTAAATACCCAGAAGTGGGATTGCTGGATCAAATGGTAGTTCTATTTGTAGATCTTTGAGGAACCTCCATATTGTTCTCCACAGTGGTTGAACTAGTTTACATTCCCACCAACAGTGTAGGAGGGTTCCCTTTTCACCACATCCCCGCCAACACTTATCACTTTTTATATTCTTAATCTTTGCCATTCTGACAGGGGTTAGGTGGTATCTCATTGTGGTTTTTATCTGCATCTCCCTTATGATGAGGGATGTTGAGCATTTCCTCATATGCTTTTTGGCTGTTCGTATGTCTTCCTTAGAGAGACTTTTGTTCAGCTCACTTTCCCATCTTTTAATCGGGTTAATCATTTTTTTTCGCATAAGGCACTTGAGTTCCCTATGTATTCTCGTTATCAGTCCCTTGTCTGAGGCATATTTAACAAAAATATTTTCCCATTCTGAGGGTTGTCGGTTCACACTTGTTACTGTGTCCTTTGCTGTGCAGAAACTTCTTAGTCTAATATAGTCCCACTTGTCTATTTTAGGGATTATTGCCTGTGCTTTGGGAGTCTTATTTAAGAAGTCTTTGCCTACTCCAATGTCTCCCAGAGTTTCCCCAGCATTTTCCACAAGTAGTTTTATTGTCTGAGGTCTTAGGTTCAGATCTTTGATCCATTTTGAGTTGACTGTTGTTAATGGTGAAAGATGGGGGTTCAGTTTCATCTTTCTGCAGGTGGATACCCAGTTTTTCCAGCACCATTTACTAAAGAGGTTTTCCTTTTCCCAATGGATTGACTGATATCCTTTGTCAAAGATCAGTTGGCTATAAGCTTTGGGAGTTATTTCTGGGGTCTCTATTCTCTTCCATTGGTCCACATGTCTGTTTTTATGCCAATACCATGCTGTTTTGATGACCACAGCTTTATAGTATATCTTGGGATCAGGGAGTGATATGCCTCCTACTCCATTCTTCTTACGCAGGATTGCTTTTGCAATACGAGGTCTTTTATGGTTCCAGACAAATTCTATAATTGTCTTTTCTAGATCTCTGAAGAATATCTCTGGTATTTTGATTGGAATTGCATTAAACATGTAGATTAATTTGGGTAGAATTGCCATTTTGATTATGTTAATTCTACCAATCCAGGAGCATGGGATGTCCTTCCACTTTTTTATGTCACTTTCAATGTCTTTTTTAAGATTCTCGTAGTTTTCTTTATAAAGGTCTTTGACTTTCTTAGTTAGGTTTATCCCTAGATATCTTATACATCTTGTGGCTACGGTGAAAGGGATTCCTTTCTTCAGCTCTGCTTCATTCAACTTGTTGTTCATAAATAGAAATGCTATAGATTTTTGGATATTGATTTTGTATCCTGCCACCTTACTGTATTCACTTATTACTTCAAGCAGTTTTTTCATGGATACCTTTGGGTCTTCTAAGTATACCATCATGTCATCTGCAAATAAAGATATTTTCAACTCTTCTTTGCCTATTCGAATGCCTTTAATACTGTTCTCTTCTCTGATTGCAATAGCTAAGACTTCCAGTACTATATTAAAGAGCAGTGGAGAAAGTGGGCAGCCTTGCCTAGTACCTGTTTTCAGAGGAAAAGCTTTCAGCTTTTCCCCATTCAGTATAATATTAGCTGTAGGTTTTTCATAGATTGCTTTTATTGTGTTCAGAAATGACCCTTCTATACCAATCTTACTGAGAGTCTTAATCATAAAAGGATGTTGTATTTTATCAAACGCTTTCTCCGCATCAATTGAGATGATCATATGGTTTTTATCTTTCTTTCTGTTAATGTGGTGTATTACATTTATGGTCTTGCGTATATTGAACCACCCTTGCATCCCTGGTATAAAGCCTACCTGGTCGTAATCTTTAGAAATAATTTTAGTAGGATAGGGGTTAACTCTTCCTTGAAAGTTTTGTAGAATTCACAAGTGAAGCCATCTGGGCCTGGACTTTTCTTTGTTGGGAGATTATTAATTACTGATTCAATCTCCTGGCTTGTTATAGGTCTATTTAGGTTCTCTATGTCTTCCTGATCCAGTCTTGGTAGATTATATGCAGAATGTTTTTTAAGCCACCAGAGCCAGGATTTTAATCACCATCAGCCATGTAGGATCTGATTCCCTGTGCTTAACTGCTGAGCTATGGAACTGGCCCTGTTTTCGATTTGAAAAGCCCTTGATTATCATGATTGTTATTTTAAATGCTATACTGGATACTACAGTGTATACTCAGAAGAATTCAGAACTTGGCTGTAGTAAACTTGAGTTCCTATGTGTTAATCTAATAATCTTTTCACCCTTAGATAATGTATATAACTAGAGATAAGGAAGTGGGTCCCTTCACCCTTAATTTTTAGATGAATGGAACATTGATTTCATTACTTCTGATTCCTTTAACTGCTCTCATGTAAACAGCCTAGAGGATGTCAATGGGTGTGGAACTACCCTGGTGCCTCTGATCCCTCCTTGTCCTTCTGAGTACCTGGGGCCACTCTAAGAGAAAGCAGATAATTACCACCCTTCTATCTTGAAAAGTATGAAATGTGTAATTGATTTTTTAAAAACTATTCCGTTTTCCCCCTTTCCAGGATCTGGCTTAGACATTAAGAGAACTAGGTAGGCCAACCACAGTGGCACATGCTGCTAGATGCTGCTGCTCTCAGACTGAGGCTATATAGGATGTTCAGGCTCAATTTCTAGCCCACCCTAAAAGCCAAACTAGGTGGTATACATGTGTAGTCCCAACTACTACAGAGGCCAAAGCAGGAGGATCATGAGAGAGTAAGATCCTGTCGTTAAGAAAAAACAGACGTGCTTGTCATTAAGGATGTCCTTTCAGGATGTAGAAAGTAGTCTTGGCACCAGCAGATGCCTAATACATGTTCTAAGCACACAGTAGATGCTCAGTATACGCTGCTTTGCTGTCATGGACCTACCTCAAGCAATTAAGACAGATAATGGGAGAAGACATCTTCATGGCTCCTGAGAACTAGTGATTTCAGGAGAATAAGTAAAATGAAGATTTTCCAGTGATAATTCAGCCTCCAGCCCACAAACTCCAGTGATTATACTTCAAGTTTGGGAAGAAACAAACTTTCCATAAGATGACTAAAAATCACTGCAGGACCACAAGAAATATGAGAAAGCAAGAAAATACGTCTCTTCCAAGGGAAAACAATAACTCCTCTTCATCCACAGACAGTTCAATGGAAATCATGGAAATGTCTGATAAAGAATTTAGAACATTCATAATGGTGAAGCTAACAGAGATGGAAGAGAAGAGAGACAATGAACTGCAGAAGAGAAAGGAGAAAGGAGCTGATGAGTTCCAGGAGGTGAGGAAATTGATGCAAGATCTAAAAGAGGAAATACACACTTTACAAAAGAATCAAATGGAACTGTAAGAGATGAAGACTGTAATACAGGAAGTCAAAATCTCTCTTGAAAGTAT